TTCAATGGCTGATTTTTTGGGAAACAGATCACCAGGCCTTTCTTCAGAAGCACCTCTGGGTGGACTCAACCACCAACCTTTCAATTAGCAGCCAAGCACATTAACCATTTCTATCCGCCAAACAGTAAACTCTACCCTAAAGTCAGTACTTACCGGAGCATAGGTTGAATAACATTCTGTTGGTTTAAAAGTTTCCTCTTCTCCATCAGATCACAGATTTGATCAGCTGCTTCTCCCAGCCACTCCAAAAGAAGCCATGGGAACCTGTCATCTCCGCAGTTTGCTATTCTTTCTCCTAGGAACCTCCTCCCTGACCTGTATGTATGGGAAAGATGGGGGGAAAGCAGCAAGGTCCCAGAGGGGGTTTGTGGTGAAAAGGAAGTGACGTTGACCCCACAGGTAAGGGCAAGTGTTTATCTCCATCTTGTTTCCTCCCCAGTGGCCCAGCATTTGTATTGTCACAAAGGTATATACATGAATATAGAGGAGTATCCAGTCAGTACGTATAACTGGACCACAGAGAAAATGGAGACTTGTGACAATGGGACATTTTGCCAGGAAGCCATTCTGATGATTGGAACAGGTAAAGTGAGAATGGGGTGGTTGGGTTGGGTGGGAAGAAGGGTTACTATGTCTGTGTCAAATGCTCTTTCTCCTTCATGAGCCCAAACTCAGGGACAGATTAGCCAACAAACAAAGTAAGCATGTACTTAGGGCATCAACAAAACAGGGGTGCTAGCTGTCCAAAGCAAAGATCCATAGATGCCAAGCAAACAAGACATGGGAAAATCAAGCACCACAGTGGAAGGGAATTTGCAGGGCACTAGGTGAAATTGATACTAGCTCCAGTTCACCATCCAAGAAGCATTAAAAAGAAACAAGTCAATGTCAGAAGTGTTCCAGAGTATTGAGTACGAGAGGTCAGTTTCGTGTAACCACATCACTGACAAATTTGAATCTTCCGTGAAAAGGAGGGTAAAAGTGTATGAAGTTCTTCCAAATATATTTTCTGTCTTAATGTGGATATACTGGATAATGGCTGCATGAAGGCATCCAAGAAATTAGTGCAGGCTTATCCCGATGACAAATACAAACCTTTATGGAGAAGCATAACAATTTCATTCTTATATGAGAACTAAGTTTACAGATTCAGGAAAGCAAAGTGTAGTCACGTAGACATACATGTATGATTCCATAATAGAAGACAAAATACAATGTATGTATTTTTCCTGATATTGAAATTGCTTTAGGCATATTCCTAACTTTAATGATCACTGGCTGCACAACAGGACACTCATTTTCATCCCTAAAGAGACTCAGAAACCCTCAGTGCACAACAGTGATTCAAGAAAGACTTGACAATCACGAGAGAAATACTGTATTAGTCCATTATTGTAAAAAGTCAAGGAA